GGGCTGCTGCGCTCCCTCCCTTGGCTCGGCAGCCAGCCCGGGATCCACAGCCCCTCTCAACGCCAGCAAGTGTGGCTAGGCCAGCCAGTGCCCCTCTGCGGGCCCCTGGGGTGTCGAGAGCAGCTTGTTCCACGGGTCTTCGCAAGCTAAAACTAAAGGCTCGACGAGATGAGGGAGGCGATCATCCAGCGCTGTCTCCGATCATGAGTCCCCCCTCCTCTGTACTCCCACTACACCCACATTAGGTTCGGGCATGCAGGGTGACAAGCTGTGGCCAATACAAGATGTGCCGACTTAACTCCTGCTAGCTGTGGCCCGAGGCCGAGCCATCCTTTGCGGGAGAGGCGATTTATCACCGCCTAGATACTCGAAAGCCCCAGTCTGACCCTCCCTTTTGACCCAGGCCATCAAGAAACACAGGGCTCACAGGTCTCTGCCAGCCGAGGCCACTTCCCGGAGGGGAGGAAGCAGTGGAATCCCTAAGGGCACCAGCTTGCACAGGGACGCTGGGGAGCAGGAGGGCAGCGAGGGGCCCTCCACCCTGACTCTTCCCCAGCGTAGCGCACAATCGCCTCAGGCTTCTGAAACGCCCGAAGGCCTGGTGGGAGGAAGGCAGGCTGAGTGCTACGAACCGTGTGTGTGTGTGTGTGTGTGTGTGTGTGTGTGTGTGTGTGTGTGTCCGTCCTGAATGAGTAACCAAGAACCTGCGATCCCAATCCGTGCTAACTAGCTGGCCTCTCCATCACCCCCACCACGGTGCTCCGTGTTCAGGGTTGGCGGCTCCAGTGGAGAGGAGCCCGGAGCTGCGGAAGACGTTGCCGGGCGTCTGGCCAGCTCGTCGAGAAGAGCCCGGGGGTGCATCCGGAGCTCAGGGACCGGTGTGACCCAGCTGCTCCCGCAGGCGGCCGTTTAGCTCCGCCTCCCGGGACCACTGACACTCGTCGATAAGGAGTTCCTCCGAAATCGTCGGTCCCCAGCCCCCAGTCACCTCCGGGGGACGTGACCGCCGGATGCTATGAGGCGAGGTGGGGGCGAGAGGCCTTCACTGACCCCTTCTCTGCTGCGCAGCCACAATAACGTGCTTCTTCTGTACAATGCTCCGTAAGTTTCCTTTGCAAAATAAAGGCCAAATTTTTAACTCTGGAAGGTTGGGGGAGCGGGTCCAGGCAGTCCTCTCCAGATACCCCCACACAGCTTGCCTTCACTACACAACAGTGGAGCGGTAACAGCCCTACTTTCCTCCTCACCCTGTCCTATCCCAAGCTGTGCAGTTTTAGGCAAACTGCTTAACAGTCTGGGCCTCAGTGTCATCTGTAAAATGAAGCCCACGATAATAGTGTCTAACTCAGGGTTGTTTGTTTTGAGGATAGGTTAATACATAAAGAGCCTAGAACACTGCCTAGCATACGGTGCTACAATGTGTCTGTTAGGAGTCTGGATAGGGGAGAAGATAAGAAAAACGTCCAGGTTTAACATTTTGGAGGCCAATATGGAGTCAAAGTTGGGCAGGGTAGAAGGGCACTATCACCCACAAAAAAGTAAGGAAAAACGGGCTCACAGTCTCCATTAGACTTTTCCTTAAAGGTCTGACAGTGCGATAGTGATGTAGAAGGGAACGTGGGCTTTAATGGTGCTCATTTAGACTGGATTAATGGGAAGCTCCTGCCAGGGCTCAGGCACCATTACCCACACTCTCCCTGAGGCCTTGGGCACACTTTTTGATGGCTCAAGGCCACCTCCTATATATAAATCAGTTTTTGGAGTGAAATCTACATCCTCTGGGACTAGAGTTTAACACTGGTCTGGGGTCTGCATGTAGCAGGCCTAGTCCCTGAGCTGTTGGTGGGCCTTGTTGTAGGGACGCACAAATGTACTACCGTTTATGTAAATAGAATACACCAGGTTTCTAATTTCAAAAAGCTTCCCATTTCGTTTGAAATGGGGGTCTCCTGTGCAATGGGGCCTGAAGAGGCCTGGCACCACTCACTTCTGGCCTGTCCTGCCCAAGGTCACTCATAATTCATTAGGTGGGACAGCCTTTTTTCCTTTTCAGTAACGACGAAAATGGCTTTTCCCTTACGTGGCTGCCGACGTTTGCCTAATCCTTGAAATGTGCTGGCTGTGCGCTCTCGCTCTCAGTTGATCTTTATCAGAACTATGCGTGCCAGGCTGCCAGCCCCGCGAAAAAACAAAAGACACGGGCGCCTCCAGGTTTGCTCCGGAAGCCCTGGTCACCTCCGGGACTTCCCCTTCACAGCCTCCGGCCCCCAAGACGACGCAGGGCAGCCTCCGAAACAAACCCGCAGCCCTAAGTCAGAATTCCAGTTCTCGAGCGCCACCCGGAGAGTTCACATTTCCCCTCCTCAGAGGCTGCTTGGTGTGCCAGCGAGACTCCGAGGATGGCGGCAGCACACGCGGTGGGGAGGCCTCCCCCAACCCAGCAGCACGTAAGGAGGAAAAGAAAAAGCTGAGAGGAAAACGTGGATTACGAAAGCCAGAGACCAGGGCCAACTACTACAAAGTAGAAACAATCCCCAGGCAGGAGTTTGCAAGGAGTAACCCCAAATTGGAACCACAGCTAAAATAAACCTCCTTTTGAGGTAAATGTTAAAAGTCCTCAAAGGTGGGGTGCAAAGGGGACTGCGCCTTCTTAGGACACACCGGTAATGCCAACATGCATTGTGCTCACCCGGCTCTCCTGCACACACATTGAATACCAGGCAGAGAGCAAGGTCCTCAGACCGATTTCACTAGTTCTCGCAGTACTCATAACTGACTCAACGTGTACTTGATTTAAAAAATTGATCTTGCTTGAAAGATACATGGACAACCTGTATTTAGATGGGCAGCTGTCTGACCACATTTGTCTGATCTCTCTAAGAATCCACGTTCTCTAGCCTAGGAAGGGGCAGACGGCCCTCGTGGCTCCTCCTCCGGCGGTTTCCTGGCGAGGTGCCCATCCTCCCCAAGCACGGGGAACGGAGGCGGTCACATTAATAGTAGTGGGGAGCCTGTTCTGACCTATACTGTCATTTTTTCCATCGGTCAGAATTGGGCGGGTGCGGGGGGTGCTTCTCGGAGGGGCTCTGCACGGATCATTGGGTTTTCCCCGGCGAACTTAACGCGGAGGCAAAAGGGGCAGATGGAAACCAGGCCTCGGCTGGCTCGGCGCGCGTAAGCCCAGAGCTTGGCAGCTCGACGCAAAGCCAGGGCTGGATTTTCTCGGCCCGGGCGCAGCGGCCTCCCCGCGCCGGCGCGATCCTCTTTCCCTCGGGTTGAGAGCAAATGTGCACGCCTAATTCCGCCCTGGAGACAGCAGCTGTGCGGCGAGAGTGTTGGTGGTGGTGGAGGAGGGAAACACGCAACTTTTCCAACAGAAAGTGTACGCGCACAGGAGAGATGAAGGCCCACCCTAATTCTGTGCACGTACCGACACAGCATCTAATCAGTGTCACTGCCAGGAACATGCTTCCGCAGCGGGCGACACCCCCGCCCCCGCCAACCTGCAGGAGGGAGGGGGGGGATGCAAATGGCGTCTCGCGTCGTCCCAGACTCTGCACAGCTTATGCTGCTGCCACTCCGAGCAGACGTCGCAGTGTGCCAAGCGCCGCCACTCTGGAGTAACAAACAGGCTGCGCGCCCCTCTCGCGCGCCCGGGTCTCGGAAAAAGGAACTAACACTATTTCCCTCTCCTAGGCCATTCCCCCGCCCCCACCTCCTGAAAAGCTGCCCTTCCCCCGACAGGGTTGGCGGGGTGGGGGGGGATGGGGGGGCGCGCGGGAAACTTTGGGAGACAACTGTTCCGCGCCTTCCCCGCGTGGCGCCGGAGCGGAACGAGGGTGGGTTTCCGGTCCGAGGCCTGACCACATTCCCCCCACTCTTCCAGACCTCAGGCCTGAAACTCGTGGACTGTGGGGGGGCATTCGAGCCACTCTGGGGGGACACTAAAGTCAAGCGTCCTCAAGGGCTCTGGCGGGTGACCAAGTTTGAGTCCTTTCCCTTTCACGATGGAGTAGCGCGCACCACCTTAGCGAAGCGCGAGACTCCTCAACCCCCGCCACAAGGTCACTCCTGCCTTCCAGGTGGGACCCATGGTTTCTCTACAGTACCTGCTCCTGCTCTGCGGCCCCCACATCCCAGGGGAGCCCCCAGAAGTAGCCGGCACCTTTCCTCCCCGGCCTCCTGGGGAAAGTGTGTGTCGTGTGCACCAAGGCTCCGGTCCACACCCTCCGCGGAGCCATCTCAGCAGCCCTCCCTAGACCCGGCTTCAGCTAATCCCCGCCTGGAGCTGCCATACGGTATGCAGCCTCCCCCAAGCATAATGGGGTGCCCCTGGGACGCAGGCAGGTATGGCGGTTCCGGTTGTTCCGGGATTTGCGTGCGAGACGAAAACAAGGCCAGTAATTACAAAAGCTGCGCCTCCATTCTCGGGGTTCAGGCGCCCGTGCAGTCTCCGCGTCGGTCCCGCAATCGCCGCTCTGGCCTGGGGGGGGGGCCGTTTCCGTACCCCCACGCCACCCCCAGCAATTCCCCACCTCGCCCGTGCTGCACCACGCGGAGCTCTAAGCACCCTGGCTCCCACCCCAACCCCTCCATAACTCGAGTGCCTCCCTCGCCCCCGGCTCGGGGCACTGCTCACTCTCAGTGCCCCAAGTACGCTGGTTCCACCCTCGGCTGCGAAAGCCACCGCCCCGTGCCACCCCCGCCTGGCCCGGCCCTTGTCCCAGCCCTGCTCCCCCGCCAGCTGCGCCGCCACCGCCGCACGTGACCCGCCCCCGTCGCGGCTTCCGCTGAGCTGCCTGTTCCGGAGCACAAACAATTTCTGCTCTGACGCGGGGTCTCTCGGGCCCTGGCGTCCTCTCTTCCCTGCCCACCCCCTTCCGGGTACGAGAACTCAAAACAACTCTCTGACCTTCGGGCCGACCAGCTCCAGCTTCCACAGACTCCCGCATTCCGTTCAAACCCGGCAGCAGCAGCTTCTAAGATTTCACTCCGCGCTGGGCTGGGGGAAGGAGTGATTTCTCCGGGAGGGGGTGTCTCAGATCTGAAGAGCCACTTAACGCTCCCTCCTCTTCTCCGAAGTGAGTTTTTAGACTACCCAGAGGTCCTGGGGAAAAGCGAAGCTCAAAAAGAAATCCCCCTCCCCCCTCCCCACGCAGATGCTGTTGACTAGAGTCTGACCGATTCCCAGGGTCATGGCCCAGCAGCAGGGTCTGGCCAGCCTCGGAAATACCAGCAAGCTGTGGACTGTGGCACCGAGAGAGCTAGGCTGGGGTGGAGAGATGGCATTAAAATAATAGTAGCTCCCGCTCCCGTGCTCTGTACTGACTACTTCACAAGTCCTCTAACTTTCAGGTCAAGAAACTGAGGTAGGGAGAAAGATCAGTTAAATAACTCGCTCAGTCACCTAGCTAGTTAAATGACTTAGTCACGTAAGTCTTAGTGGGAATTTGAACTCAGGTGTCCCAGAGTCCAGGGTGGTTAAACATTATGCTTATAGTGCTCAGGATTGGCAGTAAAGACCCTCCTACAAAGATTAATGTTCGCTTGAGGGCTATATTGCATGTTGCATTGTGGCTGGCACATAGTAGGCACTCAATAGATATCGGTGGAATGAATGGGCATTTGATTAAATGATTGACAGGGTCATTGCTGACAAGTGGTTTTAGAGAAAACAGCCTCAGCCATTGTTCCTTCTAAGTGGATTGTTTTACCTTAATAAAATCTCTAGCTGTTTTTTTAATGTTTGCCGATAACAGGAAACGCCTATTCAAAATGCATATTAACTTCCCACCTCTACTCCCCCCTTGCCCCCAGCCAATCAGCATGGCAGCACTTGAACTTGCTGAGGCACATACCCACAGCAGCTTTTACTTGGTCTTAGTCATCAACCTCCACTCCTCCTTGTTCCTTCTCTGTAGGGCTTCTGTTCAGGGTCAGGCAACCTGGAACTGCGTTTGAAGTGATTCTGAACATATAGCAAGAAGAAAAGAGTGTACCAGACATGGCTCATTGGCTTCCCTTCCACAGGTGGGTGGTGATGGGGTGTGGAGAGTGTGGCTTGCAGCTCAGTGGCTTGTTTTTAATTCACTGACCACATAAGGAACACCACCATCCATGCAGCTTGCTTCAGAGTCACAGACCTCACCAACTGTGAGGTCACATGTCTCAGAAGGCAGTCATCTACCTTAAGCAACAGCTCTGAGATGCTCATCAGTGGGACCACATCTGTGATTTGGGGAGCTGCCACTGGTGCTTCGTGCTGTCCTGTTTCTTCTGGGACCCCAGAAGAGGAGGCAGTAAAAAACCCTCAATGTTTGTACATGTAGATAACCCGATAGAACGCACTTTTATACCATATTGTTATCTTTTCCTCCCTTCATTTTCCAAACCTAGTCATTTGTCCCTTCCCTCACTAATTGAGCCATCCGAAATGACAAATTTCACTTCAGGTTACCTGAAAGTAAACTTTCTCCTCTCCAATTTGATCCTTCCCAACATCTGTTGAATGAATGCCTCTGTGGTGTAAGTCACGATATTAGGCATAATAAAGAGGAGGACAATGCCTAGTTTCTGTTTCTGATTATTGATATAGTCTGTCCTCTCTCTCTGCTCCCTCCCTCCCTTCTTTCCTCTCTCTATCTGACAGTTGTCTGTTTTGTTCATGTTCTTACAATTATTAACCAAGAAATGAAAATATTTACTTCCTCTCTGAATAACAACCCACCCAATCTTTTTGAAAAACATCTTATTTATTTAGTTTTAGAGAGAGGGGAAAGGAGGGAGAAAGAGGAAAGAAACATCGATGTGGTTGCTTCTTGTGTGCCCCCTACTGGGAACCTGGCCCACAACCCAGGCATGTGCCCTGACTGGGGACCAAACCAGTGACCCTTTGGTTTGCAGGCCTGAACTCAGTCCACTGAGCCACACCAGCCTGGGCTCCACCTATCCAATTTTGATTATAAAGCTAGGGTTTCAGCCCTGACTGGTGTGGTTCTGTTGTTTGGGCTTCGTCCCACAAAGCCAAAGGTCGCCAGTTCAGTTCTATTCCCCGTCAGGGCACATGGTTAGATTGTGGGATCAGTCCCCACTCGGGGTGGGGCATGTAGGAGACGCAACCAATTGATGTTTCTTTCTCACGTCGATGTTTCCCTTTCTCCTCTCTTTAAAAATAAATAAATAAATAGATAGATAAATAGATAAGTAAATATCTTTCAACTGGGTTCTAGCCACCTCTTTTACAGTCTGGTCTGGAATGACCAGCAGGACCCTGTGACCTCAGCCTGTGGTCAGCCCAGGACAGAGGCATCAGACGATTTTCAAGGCGGCCTCAACACTCTATTCTATATGGCATGATGGTAACTGAAAACAGCCTTGCCGAAACTCACATACCCCTTGTGTAGGGGGGACTGGTGACAAGTGTTGCTGCACCAGAGGTTCAAGATGCTAATTTGATTTATTATCTTTGTACAGCGTGGGGAGGAGAAAAGGCTCATAAAAGTGTTCTAGGCTGGTCATTCTGAATGCAAGCATTTATTTATCTGCAAAGCTGCCGAATGTCCCTGCAGGAAGTCGCAGGCGCAGCAACCCCTGACTGCACAGACAAAAGTCTCCCCTTTACACAGGCTGCTTTTATTGTTTCCAACAGCTTTGTGTTCTCCCTGGGGATAGAGGAGCTGCACATAGCGAGGTTTCTTCCTCTTTTCTCACGCTGCGGAGGAAGTGATGTCGTGGTATTAACTCAGCCTGTGAACCACATCAGAGACAGAGTTGGGAAAAGCTCCATGCAGGGTGGCATTCCTATGGACTTCCTCCTTCCCCTAAAGAACTCCAGCCTGGATCTGAGTGTGGGGATGGAGTACATACAAAGTTGGCACAAAGTAAGGGAAGCTATACCTGGGAATCATCTTCTGGGTAGAAGGGGCTCCTAAGGGGTGGATGCTCTTGACCCCTTCAGCCTGTTTCCCACTAGGAGCAAAGGTCCACAGGACTGAAGGAATGGTTTTCATTCATTCTTCATTCATTCATTGGACAACATTTAGGGATTACCCACTTTGTGCAGGGCACTGTGCTAGGGCTGGGTGTGCAATGGTAAGCCAAAGACATGGTGTTTGCCCTCTTGGAGCTAACATTCTAATTTGCTTGGCACACAGAAGGTTCAGGATGTGATCCAGAGCATCTAATCCTGTCAGTCCTACCTCCTTAACATCTCTTCTGTGATTTTCCTCATTCTAATGCCTTAATTCACATCCTTGAGGACTCTTCAAGGAACAAGTGAACCCACCTTCGCCAAACTCACCTCTTCCATCTGCTCGTACCACTCACTGCTTTAAATCCTTCAAGTAGCAGGAAGGGGAGGGAAAAGGGGTGGGACACGGCAAAAGAGGCACCCTCTTCTAGCTGAGTCAGCCTCCTTTATAAAGATTTCTCAGAAGTCTCACCCAATGATTTCCACTTACACATCTCATAGTCCAGGGCTTGCTATAAGGGAGGCTGAGAAATGTTTTAAGCCTTGGTACATTGCTGACTCAAATTATTGAGGAAGGGGGATTGGCTTTTGGGGTAGGCAACCAACCATCTCTACTCATAGTCTCATGTGACCGACAGTATGAAAACACTTCCTAGGTGGTAGGAGAGGAGTCAGTACAGATTTTTTGGGGTCATCCCTCTCCTCTGAGAACTAACTCCCTTCATCTCCTCCCTGGGGGTAGGGATGGCAACAGCTTCTGTGTTGCTGTAGCTGCAGGTGGAGCCTGCCCCTGGCTGAGCTGCTCCTGTTCCTGCCTGCCCTCCCCCACCTCCACTGGGGAATGGGATATGGTAAAAGAGAAAACTGGTCAGTCAGGGCTGCACTGGCCCCATGACATCTGACTAGTGCAGTCACATGGCCTTGTGTTCTAGGGCTCCATGCTTGGGGCTTAATGATCTGTAGTAGCCATCTTGACATTCTGAATAATACTATCTTTAAATTTATGTTTGGTAGGTGAAGAATGATGGAACAATGGACTATGCACCAGCTCCTTGGAGCCTCAGCTCATGCACCAACCCACCTCCTGCCATTTCCTGGCTTATCTCCCTGAGATGGGTTCACAGATGTCCACTTCTCACCTCCTGGCCTCTCACACACTATCCTGGCCTTGGGACTGCTGCTTCCTTCTGCCCCTGGAAGGGGTCTGGTTGCTAAGTTTGGGAAGGTTGGGTATGCCTTATGACATCTTGGAATGGGGCAGGGTGTCAGTCTTTTCTACTGGATGGCAGGGCTACAGCACATGTGGCTGGCCACTTGGCAGGGGCCTCTCATGCACCATGGATCCACACCGAGTATGCCCCAGCATGGAGATCGTGATCCCTTGGAGGCCACTGACTGCCCTGGGCTGAGGCAGTGGGCATGTGGGAAGGGGAGACTGACTTCCCTGTCCCTGGCTGAGGCCCTGCATTTTAACTTTGTTCTGGGCCCTGCCAATTATGTAGTCAGCCCTGCTTGACTGCAGGGCTATTTATTATGTTTGAGCCTATGTATTCCAGGCCACAGAAAGCCAGTCTATAGAAAGACAGAGAATAAAAAAGAAGTTCAATAAGTAACAGAGTGCCTTCAGAAATGTGGGGCCCCAGAGAGGGCAGAAATGGGTTCCTGAAGGGGGTTCACTGTCCAGGTCCTGCCCCCTGGGGAGGCCTGGCTGCACTTTTGCTCCTGTGTTCTTCTCATCAAGTCCCTTCTATTCCTTGTGCTACAATGAATGGATTTCCCTGATTGCCAACTCAGAGTTCCCAACCAAGATAAAAAAAAAAAAAAGCTTGGTTTTGCAGTTCTTAGTATTGGGCTTCAGTCCAAACTTTGCCATTTAACTAGCTGTGTGATATTGAGCAAGATAGTTATTCTGTCTGAACCTTTGTTTCCTTAAAGAAATGACTGGTCATCATGGTACCAATGTTGGAGGTTGCTATGAGGATTAATCTGTTTGTGTCTCTTCTTGTTAATAGGACTCAAGGCACGAAGGCATGCAGGAAATTTAGAGGACAAATGAGTTCCTTCTGTCATTGTTTTCTCAGTACTTCAATACTGCTTATTAATCTGGTTAACTCAAGTGGTTAGAATATGGTCAAACAAGATGGATGTCATAGGTTTGAGCATTCAACAGGTTTGCTTAGCACATTTCCATGACTAAACACTAAACCCATGAGGTAGATCTTCCAGTTATGTATTGTTGTGTAGTGAACAGCCTCAAAACTTAGTGGCTTAAAATAACAACCATGTTATTATATCTCATGATCTTTTGTGTAAGGAATTGAGGCAGGTCTGGGATGAGTGATTCTTCTGTTCCATGTGGGGTCCCTCAGTGGTACTCAGGTGGTAGATGTGCTGATCTGGTCCAAGTTGGCTTCAGGCACATGTGTGGCACTTTGGTGGGGATGGCCGGAAAACTAGGCTCAGCCAGGACTATAGAATGTGGCTCTTATATGCGTCCTCCAGTATGGTGGTCTTGGGGTAGTAGTGCTTCTTACATCGGGTCTTATAGAGAGGGTGTTCCAAAAGACCAAGACAGAATCTAAACTGTGCGTCTGAGAGTTTTGCTATTTCTTCATCGCTTAGATTTATAGGCTCTGGGGCTTTGAGATCTTCTTGAGCCATTTTTGGTCTGTTTGCACCGGTTAAGACTGAGGAGCGGAGCCTTGGACTCCCAGGTGGCTGGGTTGTGACGCTGTATGTGGAGGCGGGGTCAGAGCAGGGAAATAGCGGCTCCCTCTGCTGTTTCTCACAGCTGGGTGCGGAGCAGAGCCTTAGGTTGTTCACCGTGGCAGGGCCACTTACATCGCTGGATTATGACGCCGTATGTGTAGGCGGGGTTAGAGCGGGGAAATGGCGGTGCCCTCCGCCGCGCTTGCCGTTTGGGCTGCTGGCTCTCATCCAATCACCCACTCCCTCACTTGTCTATCCACACACGAATGCGCAAACGCGCGACCACAGTCAACCCGCAGCCCTGCTTCTTCGATGTTTCCCCGCGATTGCTTGCTGAGTTGCCCACCAGGTCCAACCCTGCCCCTGGATTCCGCGCGCCTGAGTCCGTCTGACCGAGTTTTCCTGTGCAACCCCGCTCTGCCAGCTGCTGGTTTCGTCCCTCTTACCGGTCAGGCTGAAGAATTTGTTGTTATCAGACTTCCGAAAAGTTCAGTTTTCTGTGTTCTGGCTGTGTTTTCTGTTGCTATTATTTAGTTGTCTCTAAACTTGGTTGTGTGAGGAAGCACGGCGTCTCCACCTATGCCTCCATCTTGGTGGAAGTCCCCAAGACAGAATCTAGAAAGCCTCTTCTGATCTAACCTTGGACATCATGCAATACAATTTTTGCCAATTCACTTAGTTTTTTTCAAATATATTTTATTTATTTATTTTTAGAGAGAGGGGAAGGGGAGGAGAAAGTGGGAGAGAAACATCAATGGGTGGTTGCCTCTCATGTGTTCCCTATTGGGGACCTGGCCTGCAACCCAGGCAGGCACGTGCCCTGACTGGGAATCGAATCCATGACCCTTTGCTTCACAGGCCTGTGCTCAATCTGCTGAGCTACACCAGCCAGGGACAATTCACTTAGTTTTGAGAGAATCACAAACTCACACAGATTCAAAAGCAGGGGACTATACAAGGATATGAATATCAGGAGTCATGGGCCAGAGAGGGCATCTTTGGAGAGTAGCTATCACAGTGGACCAACCACTCTCATGTTTGTGCCCTAAGTCCTGGGAGGCAAAGAGTGAGTACATGGACGGAAGACCTCAAATCCATCACCACACATCATCAGAGAGATTTCAGGAAATCTTGAGCAGATGGAAAGGTTCTTGGTAGTATCAGTCCTTGCAGAATATCTGAGAACTACTTTGGATGTTAAACCCTAGTCTTGCTTCAAAGCCAGGCTTTTGGGCTCTTCAGTTTACAAAACCCCCTCAAGTTCCTATAATGGACTTACTATGATTATTTCCATTTTCCATATGGGGAAACTTAAATTGTTTAGAGTCATAGCTAGAAAATGGTATGGATGGAATGTGAACCCAGATATATCTAATGCCAAAGCAGTAGGTCGTTTTACAGTTTACAGTTTGAGTAACTTTCCCAGGGTCACCCAGAGAAACCAGAAATACAATTCAGTACCACTTCATGGTAATGCTGAGCAAACTTAGAATAGGATGAAAATTCCTTTTGATAAAAAAAAATATGAAACAAACCTTATAGCAAACATATTTAATAGTCAAATGCTGAACACTTTCCCCCTGAGATCAGGAACTACACAAAGATGTCTGCTATTATTACTTCTATTCATTATTATACTGGAGGTCATAACCAGTGCAATAAAGCAAGAAAAATAAATAAAAAGCACCCAGATTGTAAAGGGAGAAATGAAACTGTCACTATTTGTAGATGATATCGCTGTGCATATAGAAAGCCCAAAAGAACCTATAGTCCAACTATTGGAATTAATAAGGGAATTCAGCAAGTTCACTGATTTCTTTCTTGCTTGCTTGCTTTTTGAAAGATTTTATTTATTTATCTTTAGAGGGGAAGGGAAGGAGAGAAGGAGAGAAACATCAATGTATGGTTGCCTCTCATGTGTCCCCTGCAGGGAATCGGCCTGCAACCCAGGCATGTGCCCTGACTGGGAATTGAACCTCGATTGTCTGGTTCTCAGGCCCATGCTCAATCCACTGAGCTACACCAGCCAGGACCTCTTTCTTTTTAAAAAAAAAAATATGTTATTTATTTATTTTTAGATGGGAAGGGAGGGAGAAATGGAGAGAAAGATCAGTGTGTTGCTACCTCTTGTGTGCCCCCTACTGGGAGCCTGGCCTGTAACCCAGGCATGTGCCTTGACTGGGAATTCAACAGGTAACCCTTTGGTTTGCAAGCTGTCACTCAGTCCACTGAGCCACACCAGCCAGGGCCAGTTCACTGATTTTAATATAGAGCTCTTGTGAGGATTCAATGAGATGCTTATATCAGATACTAAACCCTCACCTATTTATTCCTCACAATAACCTCTCTTTGGCTGTGGCACTGGTGACACTTCCTCCTTGACATACCCTTTACCCTGGCTTTCTTGACACTCTTCTCCTTCATTATTATACTGGAGGTCATAACCAGTGCAATAAAGCAAGAAAAATAAATAAAAAGCACCCAGATTGTAAAGGGAGGAAGGCCAATTAAGTGTGCAATAACGAGCAGGCTGCCAATGTGGGCAACTGGGGCTCAATCCTACTGGTGCCTGTCTAGGACCCTGTGTCTAGGACCCATCCACCTCTCCCTCTGGATTTCTCTCTCAGCCTCCTCTTCTGGTATCTGCTCCTACAATGTCGGCTGTACTCAGAGTTCCCCACAAGCAATGCTGTAATGAGCACACCTCCACAGTGTTCTATGTGCACGGCACCTCCCATGGTTGTCCAATTGCTTTATCATTTCTTTCTTGGATCCTCTCACTGACCTAAAATACACAAAATATTAAACTTACTATTTTAACCATTATAAGCACACAGTTCGGTGGTATTAAGTACATTCATACTGTTGCACAACCATTGCCATCATCATCCTGCTTCCTGTCTTGTTCCCTCTGCATCCATCTGTCACACAGCCACCTGAGTAAACTTCCTAAGGTAAAAACTTGATATTGTCATCTTTTCCCTGCTTAAATTCTTTCAAAACCTTGAGACACCTTGATTAAATTAAACATTCTCTGCATGGCTTAATAGCCCTCCATCATCACTGCCCAGCTTACTCCTGATGCACAATGCATGTTCCCTCTGGCTTCCATGCCTATCTTAATTTGGGTATGTCCAAAAGCTGACCCTGACCCAAGGATTTGGGGGCATAAGAGAGATGATTCCAGGAAGCATGGTGATTGAGACAGGGAAGGGAGGAAGGCCAATTAAGTGTGCAATAACGAGCAGGCTGCCAATGTGGGCAACTGGGGCTCAATCCTACTGGTGCCTGTCTAGGACCCTCTGTGACACACCCCTCAGAACTGCCCCAGTGAAGGGTGAAGGAGCTAGAGTATTTATCCAGTTCTCGTTCAGTAGTATGCTGGTAAATCATCTTTCTGGGAGAACAAAGGATGCCACAATTCACACTATTTGCCAATTGCCACAATATAAATATTCTCACTGTGGCTGATTTTAAGCTACCATTTGTTTAACAATTGGTTTGCATCCCTGGCCAGTGTGGCTCAGTTGGTTGGAGCACCGTCTTGTAAGCCGAAAGGTCTCAGGTTCAATTCCTGGTAGGGATGCATGCCTAGATTGTGGCTTCAGTCCCAGGTCTGGGCACCTCTGATGGACAATTGATCGATGTTTTTCTCTCATGTTGATGTTTCTCTTTCTTCATTTCTCTCTCTCTAAAATTGGTGAGCAAATTTTCTGAATATGTAACAGTCAGGATCTCCAGAGCTAGTACTGTGCTTTAGCACAACCCTGTTCTCATTCCCAATTAGTTGAGGGTTATTTCTGGGAAGCTAGTT